CAGAGCTGTAACAATGAGTTATGTGCAGAGTTGTAACAGTGAGTCATGTACAGAACTGTAACAATGAGTTATGTGCAGAACTGTAACAATGAGTTATGTGCAGAGCTGTAACAATGAGTTATGTGCAGAACTGTAACAATGAGTTATGTGCAGAGTTGTAACAGTGAGTCATGTACAGAACTGCAACAATGAGTTACGTGCAGAGCTATAACAATGGGTTATGTACAGAACTGTAACAACGAGTTATGTACAGAGCTGTAACAGCGAATTATGTGCAGAACTGTAACAATGAGTTATGTACAGAACTGTAACAATGAGTTATGTGCAGAGCTGTAACAATGAGTTATGTACAGAACTGTAACAATGAGTTATGTACAGAGCTATAACAATGGGTTATGTGCAGAGCTGTAACAATGAATCATGTGCAGAACTGTAACAGTGAGTTATGTGCAGAACTGTAACAGTGACTTATGTAGAGAACTGTAACAGTGAGTTATGTAGAGAACTGTAACAGTGAGTTATGTGCAGAGCTGTAAATATGAGTCATGTTGAGAACTGTAAATATGAGTTATGTACAGAACTGTAACAATGAGTTATGTGCAGAGCTGTAACAATGAGTTATGTACAGAACTGTAACAATGAGTTATGTACAGAACTGTAACAATGAGTTATGTGCAGAGCTGTAACAATGAATCATGTGCAGAACTGTAACAGTGAGTTATGTGCAGAACTGTAACAGTGACTTATGTAGAGAACTGTAACAGTGAGTTATGTGCAGAGCTGTAAATATGAGTCATGTTGAGAACTGTAAATATGAGTTATGTTGAGAACTGTAACAATGAGTTATGTGCAGAGCTGTAAATATGAGTCATGTTGAGAACTGTAAATATGAGTTATGTTGAGAACTGTAACAATGAGTTATGTGCAACATAAATATCAAGTGCAACCAAACACCCTGGAATTCAATCATGCAATTTACCAAGTGTGAAGTATTACTATTAGATGATTCAAATTCATTAAGTTTTCTATTGGCTCCTGATGTCGCAATTCTATGATGAGGGTCCCACAGCTTTTCCTTGCGTTCTTTTTGAATTCGCTCTTTAAGAATTTTTGGAAACAATTCATAGATATTTTTCATTCCTATGTGATATTTGCCACTTGGGTTCTGCCATTCAGCTGGAATCTGTAAAGATACAAAACACAAATCATATATAATTAGCACAAACAGAAGGTAATCAGAGTGTCATTGTCAGATATTTGCATAACAAAAGAGCCATATGAATATGAAAAATGTCAGGAATGATTGTTGATAGTTGCTCTCAGATACATATTGTAACATTCAAATATCTTGATCTCTGGTTTTCCTTCCTTGTCTGTAAACAATATTTGTATTCAGAATCATCCAATCTCAGACAGGACATTCTGTAGATAGCTTCTATAGCTATTGCCATGGAAACAGAAAATAGTAATATTATTGCATTTTTACTTTAAGTTTTCTCCCTGAGAGTGCTGTGATATGTCCATCTTTGACTTCCACCACTGTAGATGTATCAACATCCCCACTACCTGTTGTATCTAGCAGATCTACTATTTTGGGACGACCATCAACAGTTTCCTGAAAGACAAATTACAACAAACTTTAAAACTGGGTAATACATTTAAAAGTAATACATGTTGAGAATCTAGGTATTAAATATATTACACAACACAGGGCAGATCAAAAACCCATATCGCCAGTGTGATGTAACACAGGGTGCAGATCAAAAATCCATATCACCACAGTGTGATGTAACACATGACAGATCAAAAACCCATATCACCACAGTGAATGTAACACAGGGCAGATAAAAAAACCCATAATAACAACCTTTGATATCGTATCCCTTCTGGGATCTAGATTAGAATACAATAAGGATATAAGGAACAATAAAATACATAAGTAATAATAATAATAAAAAAGAAATAAATAGTAATACTGTGAAAATAGTATTATATAAATATTTTTTTGGTGTTATTTTGAGGCAGCTGGTAAATTGCTTTTCATGAAATTCTCTCTTTTATTGAAACAGTCGCTGATAAACTTGGCAATTGCTTGGACGGTTTCAGAATTTTTGTTATTGAGAAGTGCTTTCAGATTACCGGATAAGTTTACGTTTTCAAACAAAGCATCTCTTTCAAATTTGTACTGGTTACAATTGAAGAGGAAGTGTTCTTCATCTTCAATTTCATTGGAGTCACAGACAGGGCATGTTCTATTAAAGACATCTATGTTGTGATATCGCCCAACTTCAATCTGAAGTATGTGGGCACTTATCCTCAGTTTAGTCATAGATGATCTGTGGATGGGGTTTTTAATAATTTCAAGGTATTTTTCAAGTGCAAAATCAGTTTTCAGCTGTCTTG